CCAGGTGGTTACAACGCTCACAGACAACGCCATAGAACTTACGCCAGAAAACTACCTACTACACCTGACTCCTCTACAACCCGCCGCCTCCAAAAAAACGATCACCCCGTACCTAGTGAACGCGGCACGTAGCCTAATCCCAACATTCTGGAAAAAATCCATAATACCAATCCTGACGAACTGGATAACAAGGGTAGAAGACATAAGGACTATAGAGGAAATGATCCTGACTGCAAAAGGGAGACCCCAGACGTACCTGAAGACATGGTTCCACTGGCTACAATGGCTAACCACTAGACAAAACCCAGGAACACGCCCACGACGGATGGACAACGACGGTTGAGGGCCTACGGATCACAGGGCAACACACCACGCAGACCAGGAGACCACGACACACACACCTGGAGACAGGGCACCTGAGGACCAAGGCAGCGACACCCGAAGACCGCAATGGGAACACATGCAACAGATTGTGCTGACGGGGGGCGCGGGCGCCGGTGGGGCGCGGGGGCTCCGGTCCTGCGGGGTGACCCCACTTCAAACCCCCCCCCAGGAACATGACCTACTCCCCCACAAAACACTAAGACAGAACGAACTCAGACATACCACCACAGGGCCATGCTATACCACACAGAACACCCATCCCATCCCCACGGTCCTAACCTTCACAAGGCACAAGAGACACCATCACGCCCAAGCGGAGAGGAGGAGGGAGGACACCCAAGATCTCCCCCCCTACACAACCACACGCCACCTCCGCACCCCCGACGCGCACATTGTCCCATGGGTCGAGACATGAACCTGCCCTGAACCAACACTGAACCCTGACCGTGGACTTGGAAGGATGAGACCGGGATCCGGGGTGACTGACACCGGACTCTAGGACCAGGGCACCATGCTAGATAAGGGGAAGCTGACACTACCTATAGAAGCCCGCCAAACGAGTCCCCCACCCATCGGGACCATAAACCATCGCCCCCAAACTACTAAACCAACACCACCAGCGAAACACGCACAAGAACACATCCCCCACACTCACAACCACACAAAGACATACAGATAGCCCGACTGACCCCAACCCGGAGACAGCCTCAAACCGAGAGAAATAACACAAGGGCGCCACGGCACGGGTTCTGAACACAGACGCTCATACAAGGCAACCAATGGGGACGGACCGCCTTATCCCGCAACAAAATCTGACCTAGATACATTATATAGCACCCTAACATCGGCTAACCAATTCCTTACGGAAGACACGCAATGGCACCCGCTGTGCAATATATCGTAAAACAATATCACCATAGTCACTACGCCTTATGAGACCACATACCCAATCTGCTTAAGAAAGGCACAATACAAAACAAGATGCCGGCCTCAAAAAAAAACCCACAGGGACCATGTGTTATAAGCCTCTGCGTAGGCTACTGCTGTAAAACTACTGATGACACAACCCCACATCCCAAACCATTTACGAAGTATACAACACTACCCCTGCGTGGGTAAACTGCTCTCAATCAGAGGTTACGAAATGCCCATCATTACCCAGGTCGGAACGACTACGAAAAATGTAATTAGCCTTACTCTTGTCTGTTTGATGTCATCTGCCTCTGTGTAGGCAACAATGCACCCTCTTTTCAAATCTGTTGAATATCTGCTAACATGTTGCATACGAAATAAAAAAATTAAATTTAAAACCGCCGCCTGCTCCCTTCCATTACAGACAGAAACCGCATCAGTAATCTGATCGTGGCTTTCTGGCCAGTGGCCATCCAGTGAGGTGTCACTGGATATAAACTTCTTACACATATAAGTCTTTTTTTCTAAATACTAATAAAGTGCCTCTGATTACTCGGGCGGTATCACCCTACCGTCTCCATAGCGACGGGTCCGTCCTTCCGTGGCCATTTTCCCCTCCTTAATTCCATGGGCTTTCTCCTGCGCTTTACCGCCGACATTCTGATCGTTGGTTGCAGCTTGTGCTCTGCTCCTTCAGGTAAGTACACCCAATACATGGAAATAAATATTTTAATAAATATTTTAATTTAACACCTCTTCTTGTGGATTGCTCATATTAAAGTGATCTCAATCTTTTTTTATTGCAGACTACTTCTAAACACCTAAATCCTTGTATAAGAGGGTGACCCCCTCTATACTAAATACTCTTGTATCATTACTGAGGGTGACCCCCTCTAGAAGACTCTGTGGAACTGGTTTTGGGCAGAAAAGCCATGCTTCCTTTGGTCACAAAGGACTTCAATCTATCTTTTGAACCAATGGACCAATTTGGATGATTTTGACATATGTTTGTATTTGAAGTATGCTGATTCTGAAAATGTATGTGAATGTGATGTATACTTTTAAAGTTATGAATAATGTGGAAAAACTGTATCTCTCTGCCTGTGATAATTACATTAACCCATTGTGTAAGGTAATTGTATCACAGGCAGAGGGGAGGATTTTGTGTGGGAGTGTCTGAGTGTATTGTACATGTTTATTGGTTGTTTTCCAAAACCCTGTGGGTGGTACTAATGTGTAAGAATGTGTATATAAGAACAATAAACCCAGTGCCTGATCACTGCTTGACCCTCAACACGGAGCCTTGTCTCGTTCTTGGGGGGGATTTACTGTATGCTGTTCCAGTTTGACTGCTAGGAGTGTAAACCTTTTGTATGGTTTTTCCTATTCGGCTGTTTACAGCATTCACATGTTTGAGAGCATTCGTATACTTCTCTGTTTCCGTGGATTGGTGTCTACAGTAGCTGCCTGTGTATCTGGAAGGGAAGATCTACTAAATGGCGGTTTAACCCTTTTATGCCTGGAGTTGCCGTTACACCCCTACACACTTATAAACCCTTAACAGGGAACACATGGTTGGAAGGCAGCACTGGAACATGTCTGTTTTGTTTTTTTATTGTATGTGTTGCGGCTGATCTGTACTATAGTCAGTGGTGTATTTTGAAATGGTGCTGCCCTATGACAGATCTTGGGCACCCCCTAATTATAATTTACCCACCCCTTCCTGCCAGGGCCACACCTCTTGATATAAACTAACACACATTTTGACTGACAAATACTCACGGACCAGCACACACTCTCAGATACACTGACATACACTCACTGATTTGACACAATCTGACACACACATTTTCCCCCAACACTCACAATTATAAAAAAAAATATATATATATTAAATCCACCCAGCCTCCCTACTTTTGGGGGAGCTGGGCGGGTCTTCACCTGGGGTCCAGTGGGTGTGCTGGGCAGGAAGTCAGGCGGGCGACTGCGTTTAGCTGGCCATGAGGGAGCAATCTCGGACGCTGCAGAGTGTTGCCGGGAGCCAGAGTGACGTCATATGCCGGCTCCCTGCATCACTGCGGGTCGCACGTGGGAGTAGAGCAGGAGAGCTCCGCTGAAAGTGCTCCCTCGCTGCCCACCCGGGAAACAACTGTCTGTCTGCCCTCGGGGGCCCAAAGGTGGCCAGCTCTTGGGCCCCCATAAAATGAGACAAACAAGGCATTAGCCTGGACAGTTGGGGGTGGTGTTTTTTGCCGCCCCCTGGAAAGTGTGGCCCAAGGCAAATGCTTTGTTTGCTTCGCGGTAGATATAGCCCTGACTATAGTCATTGCTACTGCCCAGGAGGAGTGGGAGTTTGAGATCAGGGCTTCATTTTTTAGGTATGTATTTGCTTTTGTATTAAACAGCCATGTTGTAGTGCTGCCGCCCACCCCATGTGCTCCCTTTTAGGGGTTAATACGTGTGTAGGGGTTTAGAGGTAAGCACCTCTTTCTCATTCTAGATTTTGCCTTTCCGCTTAAAGAAGCAATGACTCACCTAAGAGGTTTTGCCTTGACACGGCACAGGAGTAGTGGAGGTTTGAGTACAGGGCTTAATATTGTAGGTTCAGATTTCTTTTTTGTTCCAGTCGCACAAGATTTCATATGATCTCAGTTCTGTCTGTGCATTATAGTTGACGTCATTAAGTGGAACCTAATACTGGCTGAAGGACTTTCTAGTCAGAGCACTTTCTAACTAAGCTTGGAATTCCCAACAGCGTATGGATTTAAAATAATTAGCTTCTGTTACAAAGCAGTATTATGTATATTTTTGCTAAATAGTACATTTTTAAAGGTTAGAAAAAATATATATATATATATTTTTTTTAATTTTATTTTTTTCTCTCCATATTTTTGACTATTGTGTAAGGCAATAAACTCTTTGTGGCGTGTCTACAAGGTGACCAGATTTGTCCATTAACACTAAAGCTTGTGGAAATTGCACACTCAACCGTTTCACTTAAACTAATGTAATACAAATCTGTATTCCTAACATTATAGTGTCTCTGTCTCTAAAATAATAGGTGCCCCACCATCTTTGATGGAAAAAGTAAAAAGCACTTTTTTTATCTCCTTCCAGCACCGCATTTAAATTTTCCTATTTGAAAGAATTGAATCAATGCTCTCTCATGGGGAATATTTTAAGATGACATGCAAAGTGTGAGGACATCCAAAGTTATTTGACAGAGTAAAACCTTTAGTGACCTGGAAGCACGTCTAGTGGCTGTCTGGAAGACAGAAACTGCAGTGTTTTACATTGCAGGGTTAAATAGACTGGGGCACTGCACCCAGACCACTTCAATGAGATGACATGGCCTGGGTGCCTATAGTGTCCTCTTGAGAATGTTTAACAATTTGTCAGAGTGGTAACCAAGAATTAAGGTGACCGTTGTTAACCAAATTCCTTCAGTGGACATATAGCATCTGGGTTGAATAAAACCATCAGGAATACTACAGCAGCAAACAGAAAATACTTTTATTGACAAACTGTAAATTAAACACAAGAACTACTCCAGGCCCAAGTAAGGCCTTCAGTATAGATAAAACCAGCGAGGAACCAAATATTTAATGATGTCCCTCTGTGAAGTACTCAATAGGGTAATCCACATCATTTCATTAAAGTCTGTGCACGCTATATGCCACAAGTGCATTGTTTTATTTTACACCTTAACACAAGGTGCTGATCTCTGCTTTTGTGCAACCCCATTTACAGCAAATTCCTGCAACACCAACAGAAGACTCCCTCCTTCTCCTGCTAGGGAACTTCATCCATGGCAATCCATCAGATTCTAAAGCAACGTTGAGTTTTCCTCCACTTGGAGCTTTTCGGGTGCTCTCTTCCACCTGCTGTACATAGTTACTGAAGTCATCAGACAAGGGGAAATAGTCTTTGTAATCATCAACTATATCAAATGAGTCCTTTGGTGGCTGTTGCCTGAAAGGAAACTCGGTCTTCTGAAGCTGCTGCACATGTGATCCCAAAAGAGAATGCAGTTTGAGTTCGTTTAGTTCTTTGTTATTGAAATCCTGCATGATTCTATCTGGTAATAAAACACAAATTGAATAAGCCATACTACACACATACACACACACAGGGCACCTGAAATGCACAGTCTACAAAGAAAATAGTCTTTATAATATTTACATGAACTCTTAGTTTGCCATTTCAAAGTAGAAGGATTTTAAAATATTGTATATTTTTATGTAATGTATAAGCCCATCTCATTGGCACCTGTTCATGAAGAATGGGGAGGAATGGGGGGGAAGCATTTCACTGAATAAGTTAATAAAATAATATTCAATATAACCATTACATTTCATTTTAAAGGAGCTCTATAGGGTCAGGGACACAAACGTATTCCTGACCCTACAGTGTTAAAATTACCATCTAGCCTCCCTGGCCCCTTCTTGCCTCTTTAAATATAGTAAAATGACTTGTATTCAAGTCTGCATCTTCTGCCTCTGATCCAATCACAATGCTTCCCCATAGGATTGGCTGAGACTAACAAAGAAGCAGATCAGGGGCAGAGCCAGCACAATTCAGACACAGCCCTGGCCAATCAGCATCTCCTCATAGAGATGAATTGAATCAATGAATCTCTATGAGGAAAGTTCACTGTCTTCATGCAGAGGGTGAAGACACTGAAAAGTGTGTTCTCATCTGTGAGTATGGTTGTCATGGGCGATGTCACGCTTGCACCTACTTCCTGGTTTACTGAGCCTTATTAGGTCACGGGACTGGACAATTTTCTGTGAGGTGACTGAGAGTCACTTCCTGTCAAAAAGGGGAGGACTTACAAAGGCTGCAGTTATAAGAATTGCAGCTTTTGCAAGCTGTTTTAGACTATACCCCCAATAAATACATGCATTTATTCATTGGGGGTATATCTGTGTTTTTTTTTTTGTTTTTTTTTCAAGTGTGGAGTGTTCCTTATAAATGTTGTTTGACTGGGGCACGACACGTTTTTTTTTTTTCCTCCAGGGTTTGGAATTTTGTGTATATAAGAAAGTTTGTTCTTTTTTTTTTTCACTGTACAAAGAGTACTATATTTAAAGATTTACTCATATATTCTCTTATAATAAAATGTATTCTGAGCATTTCAATATTGAGTGCGGTATATATTTTTATAGATTAGGTTCATATTTAGAGGTTTTGCAAGCGGTAAGGAACATCGATACCAGCACCTTATCACAGTTGTTGAGTTCCAATGTATATTTATTTTTTTTGGTATACGTTCATTTTATGGTTGTTATTTTTTTTCAAGAGCAAAACAAATTAATTTAGTAAATGCAATATTATGAAAGTGGGGCAGTAAAGGGGTGAGACTTGAGATGGCGTGAGACTTGAGCCGGGACTACAACTAGTGACCCCAGACTGACAGGTGAGCTATGTGCAATTCTCAAAGTAAACACTGCATAATCTATTTAGAGGACAACACCCATAAAGCACTTCCCATAACCCAAATCCTATAATAATGACAGTTTACAAAAATGTTGATTTCTATTAGAAATCAGGACTTGTATATATGAATTAATTAAACCTCCCTGGCTGTCAATCAAAAAGCAAGGCGGGTTTCTTTCTGCTTCCGTTAGCTCCCCTGAGATAACGGAAGTTGCAGGTGTTCCCCACTTGATAATCAGATTTGACAATCTCAGCCAAGGAGGGTGAGGTGGGACCAGCTGCGAGGAAATGCACATGGCACTAGAAAAGAGGTGAGTAAATAACCTTTTTAACAGCGTGTAATGGAGCTGGGGACCTAAACTGTCATTTTAAATCTATAGTGTCAGGAATACGTTTGTATATTTGACACTATAGTGTTCTTTTAACAGAAAGAGAAGAAGGCGTATACCGCGCCTAGTAATTTATATATGCAAAAAATACATACATATATCCTTGAATATTCCAATCAGTTGTAGCCTCGGAAAAAATTAAGACAAAAAATAATAGTGCAATACAGTAGATTAAATATAAAGTATAAACAATTATAGCTATGTACAGTCCACTCACATTTGAATGAGCTATAACAGAGCTCTACTGTGAAGCGCCTGGACGGTACAATCCCCGTCTTAGGATTCGTAGTAGTTGCCACGGATGTTCTCAAGGTGTGAGATAATTGTTTATACTTTATATTTAATCTACTGTATTGCACTATTATTTTTTATCTTAATTTTTTCCGAGGCTACGACTGATTGGAATATTCAAGGATATATGTATGTATTTTTTGCATTTATAAATTACTAGGCACGGTATACGCCTTCTTCTCTTTCTATTATTCATTCACAAGGTTGGGGAATCCTTGTTCTGTATACTGCTGCCTGATCACTATAGTGAGCGCCTATTATTTTCTCTTTCTAGTGTTCTTTTAACCCCTTAAAGCAGGGGTTCTCAACCCAGTCCTCAAGGACCCCCGAACTGTCCAGGATTTAGGTATTACCCTGTTGTGTCTAAAGTGTTTGTCCCCCCCACCCCCTTGAGGACTGGGTTGAGCACCCCTGCCTTAAAGGGACACTTTATAGTCACCAGAACAACTACAGCTTATTGAATTTGTTCTGGTGAGTATAATCATTGACTTCAGGCATTTTCATGCAAACCGTTTACATTGCCCCTAGGGACAATGTAAAGTACCACTCCTCTGATGGCCACTGAAGATGCTTCCTGGCTCTGTGCTGCACAGTATGCAACCCTGCCATCCAGCTTCTCCACGCTCTGCATGGGGACGCTGAATTTTCCTCATAGAGATGCATTGACTTAATGCATCTGTATAAAGTGGTGCTGATTGGCCAAAACGATGTTTGCCCCCGTCCCGCCTCCTTGCCGGTGTTAGCATTGGATTGGCTAGAAATCTGCAATTGTGGTCATGTCATTAAGGAGGCGGATTAGTGCCGGCGGACCTGCGAGGCAATGGAAATAAGGTTCGTTTTTACCTTTTCTGAGGGGGGGAGGGCAAGTCACCTAAATGGTAGGTTTAACACTATAGGGTCAGGAATACATGTTTGTGTTCCTGATCCTATAGTGTCCTTTTAAGGACTGAGTCCAAGAGTGTTTCCCGAGATTGCGAACCCAAGGTTGCACCCTGCAGTGGATGGAGCTGGGGGGAGGCGGCCGCTCTCCTCGCCCCTACACCGGGGGTCCACAGCCAATGAATGCCCCCCTCTCCCCGCTCAGGACCGGCGGGGATGATCCCGGTCTAATCTCTCAAGGCAGTCCGGCCACAATGGACACAGCCAGCGCAGCCTCACAAGCAACTTACAGAAACTGAGGCCTATGCAATGGCGGAAGCTCCGTGCGACTAAACAGCTGCAAAGGGAGGTCCAACACCCTGACAAGGCTTAACGCCATAATCAATGCCTTCTGGGCGAACCTGGCAAGCAGATAGCGGCAGACTAAAGCACAGATATACCCACATGGAGAGAAACTGGTACATCCCTGCCACAGCCGCACTGATCACCATCCAAAAGGAGCCAGAAGATGGCGCCAAAGAAGGGGGATCTCTCCCTCCTATACACAAATCCGCACAAGTTAACCAGGCAGCAGAGCCATCTCTGAGAACCCTACAGGTTCCCCCTACGTTCTGCTTCAAACCGAGACCCACTGTGCAACCGTCAAGAAGCCGACACCCCTCACGGTGCCAGATCCTGACAAGGCCATGGAGAATCCGGGAGATCCCAACAAAGGCATTACCTTCCTGCAACACAACTGCAGGTCTCCACTACAGAGGGCAGATGGGCTTGAAGATGAGACTCATGCAGCTGGACTGTGTATTGCCCCACTGGGACTTCCATACCTCTCCAAAGCCTTTCCCTATGCTGGGTATAGGCTGACTGGGAACACACATACAGGGCACACACCGTGGAACCCACTCAGAGCCCACCCTTGCCACAAATGGCCCCCACCCAGGCCCCCAGACGGCCTCCTAAGCTGAGATATTCTAACCTCAAGGCATTCTAGTGGACTCCTTCCCGTACGTTCTTTTTTGTTATCGCACTGGCTTACCTGCCAGACACTGCACTGCAGTACCACCCCCCTGCTATGATAGCCTCAGGGAATGTACTGCCAAAGGGCTCAGCTAAATCAGATAACAATTAACTTTTGCGTAATTAAGCAAGATGTAATGGCTATATAGACCGGGTGGATATGACAACCCCTTTATTGTAGCTAGACGATATTTCATTATCCTCCGTATAAGCTTAAACTTGCAATACCTAAAACAAAAGATATCTTAAATTCCCACGAAGGTTGGCTCATTCCCAATTATAGGGCTGCCCACTAACAATTAATGCTGGCTCACCTGCCTTGTTAACCGGAGCTCAACATTTTAGCATCTTGGTTTTCTTTTGTGTATCATTGTCTGTTTTAGTTATAATCTATACCAGTGAATAGGTCTTGTCTATCTGTCCGATATCTCCTTACTTTAATACTCTAGGCACTGTGTGTGATGGACCGCCTGGCACCCCGACCGGGTACCTCTATCAATCGCTGCTTCCTAGTAATCCCTGAGTACCATAAGCACTGCACCTAACACCATAACCACCGTAAACCCCAACAAACCGCCGCAGCTTGGTTGGGGTCTCGCTGTCCTTCACCCACCCTGGACCCAAGACCAGAATCCAGCTTCCAGGGGTAGTCCTCTCCTAGTTCAGAGAGCAAAGCAAATCGTTGTGATCCAAGGGAATATAGTGATTATAGCAATCCCCAGAGTGAATATAACTCTCAAATCCCCCAAACATGAGCTTAGATTTCATGAAGGGTAAAATGAATCTGTTTAATTGCAGCCACAACTGGCCTTATATGCAGGTCCCCATGGACCTAAGAGTAGACTACAGTAAAAACATATACACAAAATAGGTCAATCCCTCCCCTATGCCTGGGAGCTTATTGAGTCAAGCACTATATTAAACTTAAAGGAGCACTTTAGGGTCAGGAACACAAACCTGTATTCCTGACACTATAGTGCTGAAACCACCATCTAGCCACCCTGGTCCCCTCGTGCCTCCCTAAATATAGTAAAATCTTACTTGTATTCAAGTCTGCAGCTGCTTACTTTGTCCCTATTTCCTTTAGACCTGCCCACTGCCTGCTGACATCAGCAGAAGTGGTAGCCTGATCCAATCACAATGCTTCCCCACAGGGCCGCCATCCCGGGCCCCACAATTACTCTCTGCACCTATATATAGCGATGGTCGCTATATATAGGTGTAACTTGGCCCGGCTCCATATACTTGCAGAGGGAGCCCAACGGACTGCAGCTGTACTTTACAGCATTTCCTTCGCTCTAACTCCCGCGAGACGTGCGTCCGTTAGAAAGTTGCCATGGATTACTATGGCAACGCTCCACCACATTTCGCGGGAATTAGAGCGAGGGAAATGCTGTAAAGTACAGCTGCAGTCCGCTGGGCCCCCTCTACAAGTATAGGGAGCCGGGGGGGCCCCACAATGCCACCGGACCACCAGGGCTCATGGAATCTTCCCCTCCCTCCCTGAACCAGGTAAGAGGGAATAACAGTTATTACATTACATGCATACACTAGTAAACACACACACACACACACACATACTGCATCCACTACACTAACACACACTCTGCATTCACTACACTGACACACACACTGCATCCACTACACTAACACACACACTGCATCCACTACACTAACACACACACTGCATTCACTACATTAACACACACACACTGCATTCACTACACTGACACACACTGCATCAACTACACTGACACACACTGCATCAACTACACTGACACACACTGCATCCACTACACTAACACACACACTGCATTCACTACACTAACACACACACTGCATCCACTACACTAGCACACACACACACACACACAGCATCCACTACACTAACACACACTCTGCATTCATTACACTGACACACTCTGCATCCACTACACTGACACACACACTGCATCCACTACACTAACACACACACTGCATTCATTACACTAACACACACTGCATCCACTTAACTAACACACACTCTGCATTCATTACACTGACACACATTCACTGCATTCATTGCGGGGGGAGAGGCCGGCCTGGGGTGGTCGGGGGAGGGCGTGGGAGGCCCAGACCTTGTGCTTTGTCAGGGACCCCAAAATTTCTGGTGGTGGCGCTGCTTCCCCATAGGATTGGCTGAGACTGACAAAGAGGCAGATCATGGGTAGAGCCAGCACAATTCAAACACAGCCCTGGCCAATCAGCATCTCCTCATAGAGATGAATTGAATCAATGAATCTCTATGAGGTAAGTTCAGTGTCTGCATGCAGACACTGAATGTTTGGATCCACTTTAGGCAGCCATGACCCAGGAAGGATCTCTAACAGACATCTTAGGAGTGGCCAGTGAAGTTATCACTAGGCTGTAATGTAAACACTGCATTTTCCCTGAAAAGACAGTGTTTATAGCAAAAAGCCTGAAGGGAATGATTCTACTTACCAGAACAAATTCAATAAGCTGTAGTTGTTCTGGTGACTATAGTGTCCCTTTAATTATCTCCAGGCACAAAAAACACACATTTTTACAAAAAACCCCAAATACCTTAAAACACACAAAATCCCCACAAAAGTTACATCTCCTGATCTGGGTGACCAACATATCCATAAATCACCCAGATCAGTTCAGGAATTTCCTGGGAGTCATAATTTGACCGACCGACCGCCCGCATGGTCCCATGCCCAAAACAGTTTTTAGAAAATCAAGACTTGCGGTCGGTCTAGTTCGGTAGTTTTAAAAAATTAACAAGCTTGTCTCACCCTGGAGCTTGCTCCCTTTGTTCGTTGGAACGTTTCCACTGAACAGCGCCTTTATAAGTGTTATAGAACTGAACGCAGGCGATGCTGAAAGTCCAGCGGTTTTCAGGAGTTTCTGTATCCGTTTTCAGTTCCATAAGATTCATGCCCAAACACCGCTGCCTGCGTTTACGGGAACAATATGGCCGCCACCGTGTGGTCGTCCATAGGCATTGCGGCCACCCAGACAAACACTTAGAACACTGCGGTGGAAATTTCTACAAAGTAGCAATTAGGCTTAACAAGCTCTAGGGTGGTCTCCGGTTTGTGCGGCTGTTCGGTTTCTGAACCAAATATAAAATCCCACAAACAAAGTCTCTTTACATAGTTTTTTAAAGGGACCATAGTCTTTTGGTTAGAGGCTGGCCAGCAGGCCCCTCCAAGAACACGTGACGAGGCTCAGTTCGTCACACTGTGTAATGTGTTTCTTTCGTTTAAAAAAAAAAAGTGTAAGTACAGAATATTCTCTTACAACAATCTGAAATGTTATCTCAGAACATGCCTTGTCTACTTGTGAAAATGGCAATGCACTACTAAAAATAAAGAATTAAAAAACTAAACCCAGAGAGTCAAATATAAGGCTTGCATTTCAAACTTTCCAAAACACCATATAAACCTGTTCATGGGGGCTACTGTTATACTCGGGAGACTTCACTGAACACAAATATTAGTGTTTCAAAACCGCAAAACTTATACCAGCAATAATATCGTCCGTGAAAGTGACGTTTGTGTGTGAAAAATGCAAAAAACTTCACTTTCACTGACAATATCATCGATGCAATACAATTTACCATTTTGAAACACAAATATTTGGTGTCTTGGTTTTATGGTGTCTTGGAAAGTTACAGGGTTAAATATAGTGCTCGCAAATTAAATTCTCTGGACTTTCTGCCTGGGTCGTCAGGCACGTCCCTCACATTTTAATTAATAAAATTGCATCAATATACACGTAGAATTTTAATATATAATTTCAATTCTACCTGTAAACTTATGTAATAGTTTATGTAATTATTTATGTATATTTGCAATTATTTGTGTTTATTTATATAGATTGTCATTGTAAGTGTATTTTGTTATCTATCTATATATATATATATATATATATAATATCAAAATACAGTTAGAATGAAATTACATGTATATGTAATTTATTTTAGATTTTTTAAATGATTTTATTTATTATTGTAATTATACGTGTGTGTGTATATATATATATATGTGTGTGTGTAACTTCATTCTAAGTGTATTTTAATGCTAAAATATGTAATTATATTGACATTAAATTCAACTAAGTATTAAGTTGCATATATAAAATATATATAATTATTTTTATGTGTACTAATTTTTTTTTTTTTTTTTACTTTTCCCACCATCAGGGGGACTGCCTGACAGCCCAGACAGGTCCCCCTGTTGGCAGATCCACAGGCATCTATCGCGGCCGTGTGATCGCTCTTTGAGAGCGCTCACATGGCCCCCGGGGGTCCTGATTTGCAGTGGGAGGGCTGTCTGGGCTGTCAGGCAGTCCTCCCAAAACGGAGCACCGGGAAGGTAAGTATCCTGGCGGCTCTAGGGATGAAAGCCGTTACAGGGTTCTATGCTGCCGCAACGGCTTTAAAGCCCATTAAATGCGGGATGGCATAAAACGTCCTAACGGTGTTAAGAGGTTAAATATGCTAAATTACAGGTGTGATAAGGTATGCATGTGCAGAATACAAATATCGGGTGTTTACAGTAGTGGGACACATATAGTCTGTGAATTTCCCCAGTATAAAACAATGTGTAAAATAACATAAAAATAACAATATTTTGACCAAAACTCGTGATAATATGGCTAAATAAAAAAATATGTAAATGCTCTTAAAGGGGCACTACACTGCCTAAATATAAAATAAATAATCAATGTTTTGTAGACATATCCCAAACAGAAACATGCATGAATTTTAATTTACATCTAAAAACAGCTTGCAAAAACCTGCAGATCTCTTGCCACCTCTTCTAACCCCGCCCAGACTTGCTGTGACTGCCCTAACATATTACCCAATGCAGCTCAATGAGAAGTCTTGGCAAGGCAGGTGCTCTCGGCAATTGCTGCCTCTTGAGTTTATCTCTAGTGAGCGAAACAACCAGGCAATGGAAGGACCTGATGTCTGATTGACAGTCAGGTGGGTTTAACAAGGTTCATTTGTAAAAATGCCAATTTCTGTTGAAAACTGCTCTTTTCAGACATAAAGCTAGAGTGTTTAGGTGTATGGTGTGCTCCTTTCAGTAGTCTGGGAATGTAGTTTCTATAAATATATACTTTTGTGTAGCAGTTGTGGATTCTGTTACTACTATAAGTGGTGTAATCTCAGCTTTGACAAATTTTGCAAAGTTTTAGCTTTGAAACTGTAATTCGCTTCTTTCAATATTTGCTTTATAAATTCTAATAATTATTTACAATCCTAGTCACATTGGGAATTTTAACCATCAGAACTAATTAGTGAATCTATTTTAAACTACATTTGTTTAGTTGCAGTTGTGTAGAAATTATTAAGTGTAAAACTGAGAAATTTGACACTTTGTATGATATTGCTCTTTATTTGCTTTTTGAAGTGCAGCACTGTGTTTTTATGGTTTATATTGGGTGATTTGTGTGGATCCTAGTGTATTTGGTGCATGCAACTTTCAAATCTAATTGTGCCCTCTATATAGTTATTCAAGCAGCGTGTACTTTGTATTAGTTTATTGGTAAAGTATTAAATTGCTCCTACTCTTATACTCTACTCTATTTAGGATATCTACTGAAAAGGTGTAATGGCCATCTAAACTGCCCCAAATGAGAAACTGGTTAATTAAGGTTTCGGAAACCCATGATCATAACCCATACCTGTTTCTTTAACTTCTACAACATGAAATAAATGTAAAACCTACTAATTGCTGCACCAGCACTAGTTTTAAAACATAAATTGTTAAGATTAGTTTTAAGTCCTAGACAGAGCTTAGGGTTATTGATTTAGGGATGTGGTGTATATATATTTTAATTAATTTCAGGGTGAGGTAATTCTTTTCAAGTTATTTTTATTGTACAATTTTAGAAAAAAATAAATTAACAATGTATTACATATAAAATAACACCATACTAATAAATAAAACCAATAAAAAAAACAGGAAAAAGGGGAAAAAATTTAATAGGTTCTTGTTTAGAGACTAGTGGATGGTCAAGGATACTGGTTTACGTTTGCTCCCTAAATCCATCATGTGTTTCCTAAGCAGAGGTTCCCACGCCATAATAATGGCAGTGGTGCTGGTGGTCATATACCCACCTGTCTGCCCTTTCTTTCACCAGCAATCACTTGGAAATTAATTCTACTCTACTGGTGCAAATGAGTGCTAAGTACATCACTAACAAGTCTCATTTATACACCATATACTGCTGCAATTATAGTATTTGGCTGCATGTTACACAGAACTAGGTAAAAGCATTAACTAACACTTTCTTGTACAACCAAGTCTAATCAACCGTGCGACCCCCAGCTGTGGAAGGACTGCAGCTCCCATCACTGTGATCTCCCTTCTTTGCCCCTTGTATGAGAGTCCTGCTCACCTGCTGCCCTGCTCCGGTAGCCCGGGTTCTGCTCGTCTCCCACGGACAGCCTCTTCCACCGGGACCCCCCGCAGGTGAAGATCACCGCCCGGATAAACTCTCGGCCGCACAGCTTTACCCCGTACTCGCTTCCTCCAGACTGGCCCCTCTGTGCCCTCAGCTCCCGGGGCAGGTGCGCCACCAGCAGCAGTAGCGCAGCACACAGCACTGCCCGGTGCTCCATGTCTTCCGATACAGCTGGGAGGGGGGAGGAGGTGGGCAGTGAGGGTCCTGGCACCCGGTATCTGTCCCGGTGGGTCTCTATCTCCCGGGCTCGAGCTGTGCCCCGAGTATGAGCTCAGTGTCAGGGACTCCCCGGAACCCTCTTTGTGCTCGGCACTGCCTCAGGTTAGGAGTGAGAGGGGAGCTGTCACCGCCTGTCAGAGAGCTCAGTGAGTGTGTCTCCCGCCTCATCCCAGCCTTTATATCTCCTCATGGCTCCTGTGTGACTCACCCAGCCGATACTGGGGTCCATGAACGGCCCCCACCCGCTCCCACCTTACCACCACCCTTTCACTTGTGCACGTCATTTATCCTGTACTGCTTGAGTATGAGCAGTCCCAAAATAAAAACGAAGCTAACCCTTTAATTAATCTGAGCACAAAGTCTTATTTTGTTAAAAATAAAATAGAAATATTCTATATTCCCAATAAAATTGTTTTATAAACTGTCATAATACCGGTACACCCCTCTAAACCTGTGCATGATATGAGGTGGCACAGAAATTGAGCATTAGCAATGAAGCTAGCACATGTGAGATGCTCTAAATTGTAACTCTCATCATTCTAAGTCAAGAGTAGCTCACAGCAAGTGAAGTGTTAAATGCATATGTATCGCGTAATCCTGGTGCAAAGTTCTGAAAGTGGAGCAGTCAGCAACATTCCATTGTTCTCTCACTGATCACTGCAGTTTTAGAACTTACTTTTACTTTGTTCTTATACATAACTACCATTGTTTGCAGAATTCATGATACTGAAGTTAGCTTCTTATTCAGTTATAGAAGTTTACTTCTTATTCATTCTAGATTCTTATTCAAACATGATAAGTTATATAAATTAAGTTGGCTAATTGAAATTGGCTCTTGTGTCTGTAAAGTAGTAAATGTAATCTTCCCCCTAAAAATAAAATAAAAAAACGAATTTGCCACATAAAGATAGCACTCCTCCCATCTCATCCACACTCTGTCTCCTTCTCTTGCTTTGCCTCTCACTAAAATTCTCAATCTGTCCCTCTCCTCTGGCATATTTCCATCACTCTTCAAACATGCAACTGTAACCTTGATTCTGGAAAAGCCCAACCTTGACCTTAACTCCCCATCCAACTACCACCCTATCTCGCTACTGCCTTTTGCGTCCAAGATCCTTAAGAAAGTTGTGCATGCGAGATTGACAAACTACCTCGAATCCCACTCTATGCTCGCCACTCTTCAGTCTGGCTTCCGCACTCAGCACTCTGTGGAAATGGCTCTGATCAAAATATCCAATGATCTAATCACTGCAAAATCTTGTGGTCACTATTCTATACTAATCCTACTTGACCTTTCTGCTGCTTTTGTCACTTTGATCATCAACAGCTTCTTCTCATTCAACATATTCTCAGTCTACGAGATACTGCTCTCTCCTGGTGCTCCTTCTACCTCTCCCAGTGCTCTTTCAGTGTTTCTTTCTCTGGCTCTTCCCCCTGCCTCTTTCTGTTGGTCTTCCCCAAGGTTCAGTACCTGGTCCCCTATTGTTCTCAATCTACACTGCCTCCTTTGGTAATTTCCTCTGGTCCTTTAGCTTCCATTAGCATTTCTATGCGGATGACACCTAAATCTATCTGTCCTCTGCTGATCTCTTGCCGCCCCTCCTGTTCATGTCTTTCTGACTGGATGGCTGCTCACTTCCTCAAACTCAACTTGTCCAAAACAGAGCTTTTGGTCTTTCCTTCTCAAGTGTTGCTACTCCCATTTCTGTCTCCCTCCTTTTTAACAGCACCACCATCAGCTCCACCTTGCAGGCTCGCTACCTTGGTGTTCTCTTTGACGCTCTCCCTCGCTCTTAATGTCCAGTCGATCGCCAAATCCTGCTGCTTCCTTCACAATAACATAGCACACATCTGCCCCTTCTTAACGCTGGACTTGGCTAAGGTTCTGGTCCAGGCCACTGTCCTTTCTCGCCCTTGACAACTGCAATCCGCTCCTTAGAGGTCTGACATGCTCTCAACTTGCCCTGCTAGTCTATAATGAACGCGGCGGCGAGGCTCATCTTCCTGTCTTTCTTCACCTTGCACGCCTCACCCCTCTGTCAGTCCCTGCATTGACTTCCTGTAAGATAAATAGCAAAATTTTAAATATTTGGTTTTTGCATACAAATCTCTACACAATACTGCTCCAACCTATCTATCCTCCCTAATACACTAGAATGTCCCATCTAGGTCCCTACTCTCCGCCGAAGACCTACATCTATCCTCTGTTTGTACTCCCACCTCTGGTGCTTGCCTTCAAGACTTCTCTAGGGCTGCACCTTTTTGTGGAACTCCCTTCCCTTTTCCATTAGACATTCACCCAGTCTCCACTCCTTCAAAAATTATTGAACACTCACTTCTTTTGAAAAGCGTATCAATTCAACTGTTAATACCTCCCCCGAACCCTGATTCTCCTGCAACTGTCATTATAACACTGTCTTCAGTGAATACTATTCTACAACCTACTTTTCTACCCTACCCCACTCCCTCTAGCATGTAAACTCACTGAGCAGGGCCCTCAATTCCTCTCTTCCTGTGCGTCCAACTAGTCTGGTTCCAATTACGTGTCTGTTAGTCCACCCATACAGCGCTGCGGATTTTGTTTGCGCTATTTAAATAATAATAATGGTTTGGCTGGAAATGTAGGTCCTTGGCCACCCTGTCTTTCTGAAGATTTGAAAAGAGCAGCTGGGGCAGTGGCAGAAAGAACCCACCGCACTAGCCTAAACATTTCACCTATGGATATATGGCCAGAATATTCTGTATGGCAAGAATTCATAGGCTCAGTGTTGGCTAATTAATTCTGTCCAAGTTAGGACAGAAAAATGATATTATTAGAGGGGAAGGGGAACTTCTGCTTTAGATATGTCTGCGATAAGAGGCCAGATACATGTTCAAGGGACCCAGATAATTGTTAAACTGTTCAAAAGAAATTTAATTTCTAATAGTGGAATGGCAACACAAGCACTACACAACCCACTGTAAAAAACGCGATTCTTGGACAAAAACTGCCATGGATTCACCTTCAAATGTATAAAGAAAAACCAAAAGAGAATACCTACACCTCATCCAAGACTCCAACATAAATTTCAAAACTCGGGCACAAAAGCATCCTCCAACTCAGGATACAAGTTAGATGAATATGAATATGGATGTGTTGCACACAGGAACAGTAGTCGAGTAGTTGCATGATTAAGTCTGTATGGAAGAAACATTGTATGTTTTAAATGTCGACTGTTCAAACGATTGATGATTTGCCACTTTGATGCCATGAGCTGTTTTCAGCTATGTCGCAGTTGGCAATTTTAGCCTGAATTGTGCCAGTTGATGAGAAAACTCCCAACAGTTTAGGAACTATATCCAACAGTTACATGTAATATGTATATCTTGTCTAATTCATATGCTTGATCTCTGAAGATATTTTTAGAGTCATTCTCAGTAATAACTCCCTTTCAGTCTGAAGTATTTTTTTTAGAAATTACCAGGATGGAAATATTACTGACCTATTCCAAAAATGCCTCCTCCAAATGCATTAATATACTTAACAAACCCATTTGTTGTAATATATGATATTAAAGCCTCTCTAAGTTTTATAAAGGGCTGGATATTATATTTAATTGCCCTATGCACGCATCTAAAGAATGACTACCTATATAATTTATTTATTTGTCTATGTGACAATACCAGTGAAACCATGGATGATGTTTATCAATCATCTGTGATTTTATTTATTTTTTTGTCTTGGTCATTCTTTATTTTAATGTAAAACAAGACAAAGATTATACAGGGGGTTACAATATTGTAAGTTTGGTTTTAAAACGTAAATCTTGTGTAAGTGAGAATTAGGTTGTTACAATTTGTTCTTGACATCATATACACTTATTATGTCTGTGAATATTTGGTGCAATATCTTAAAGGAACATTCCATCCACAATAACCACTGCAGCTCACTGCCCCTCTCCCCTATAAGGATTCAAATTGATTTTTAAAAGGTTTGACTTCTTACCTGGAGTTTTCCGGGTGCCACACTCTGTTGCAACTACTATGCCTTGAGAGCCATTGGTTCCTTTGTAGGAACTTCCCTTGGCAATCCTGAGCTAGCCTGCACAATACATGGCTTGGATGTCAGCTCTCAGTCAATGAGCTAAGTCCTGCATTGTAATGCTTAGCTCAGGACAGCTAAGGGGAGTTCCTGCTGAGGAACGTATGGCTCTCGCAAGATAGTAGTGGAGGTGAGGAGAGACACCCAGCAGACAGCAGGTATGAAGTCTAACCTTTTAAAAATAGTTTGATTCCTTACAACACATACACTTTCCTAGCCCTTTTGTCTCTGGAATACCACTTAAGGAGACAACAGAGACAAGTCAGAAGCAAACACAACCCCTTACTGGATAGTAGTTGGTGAGTATATGCAGCCGATCGCTGCCAACAAAATCTGTGTCATCTGATGTTTGCAGCCTAACTTTCAATTCCAATTCTTGCAGGGGAATAGGGCGATCGCCCTCACAGGATGCAGTCCGGTTGCAGTGAGTGTTTCTTGGTCAGGAAGAACATACATCCTGAAAGGTTTCTTGCCTGTTCACATTTTGCAAGGTAAAACATTTACACCCACCTTATGGCATCACCATGTCTACACGTTTGGACGTAAGCTTCCTCGGGACGTTAAAGTGCTAATGCCATCTTGCTGGTATTTAAGGGCAACTAATTCCATTTCTAAATGATTCTGATTGGTCAAAGTTCAACACTTCTGATATCGGACATCCGGATTCATAGAAGTCTATAGGAAAGTTCATTTGTTGGTAAAACAATGTCCATAAATCCGCATATTGTACTTAAAATAATCAAGAGTGTTAATACAAACCTTACAAACGATACAGAAAACACTATGTTACTTATGTATTTGCAAACCAATAGTTTTTTTAACATGTATTAAAATTCCCCTATTGGATAAAATTAAAA